TCAAGATTCTGGGACAGAACGAGAGGGGCGCTCTATACGGTACTTTTGAATACTTGAGTTTGTTGGCCCAGGGCAACTTCACTGAAGTAACATATGCGACAAACCCCTCGGCTCCTGTCAGATGGGCAAACCAATGGGACAACATGGATGGCACAGGAACTCATGGCAGCATTGAGCGCGGTGTAAGCAATCTTCTCTCTCATCGTCAACCCATCATTGAATACGAACATGTCTGACTTGTGCAGTACGGAGGTGTTTCCATCTTCTTCGAGAACCTCAAAGTCGTCACCGACATGACCCGCGTCTCCCAGTACGGCCGCTTGCTGGCCTCCGCCAGAGTCAACGGCATCATCGTCAATAACGTCAACGCCAACGCCATCCTCCTCTCCCCCGAGAACATGGACGGGTTGAAGAGGATCGCAGACGCCTTCAGGCCATGGGGTGTTCAGGTGGGCATCTCCCTCAACTTCGCCTCACCCCAGACATACGGTAACCTTTCCACCTTTGACCCCCTCGACGAGAGCGTCATTGCCTGGTGGGGAAATATCACCGACGAGCTCTACGCGCGCATTCCCGACATGGCTGGATACCTGGTCAAGGCCAACTCAGAGGGTCAGCCCGGCCCCCTGACCTACAACAGGACGCTGGCAGATGGCGCCAACCTCTTCGCCAAGGAGCTCAAGAACCACGGCTCCAAGAAGGGCATCGTCATGTTCAGAGCCTTTGTATACGACCATCTCACGCTGAACCAGTCCGACTGGCGTGCTGATCGCGCCAACGCCCAGGTCGAGTTCTTCAAGCATCTCGACGGCCAGTTTGACGATAACGTCATTGTCCAGATCAAGTACGGCGCCATTGATTTCCAGGTCCGGGAGCCCGTGTCACCTCTGTTCGCCAACCTGAAGAACACGAGCATGGCCATCGAGCTGCAGATCTCTCAGGAGTACCTCGGCCAGCAGGACCACTTGGTCTACCTCCCTCCTCTCTGGAAGACGATCCTCGATTTTGATTTGCGCATTGACGGTCAGCCTTCGGTCGTCAGTGACATTCTGTCTGGCAAGCGCCTCAACAGGCCTCTCGGTGGCTACGCTGGTGTCATCAACGTTGGCGCGAACTCGACCTGGCTTGGAAGCCATCTGGCCATGTCCAACCTCTATGCCTACGGCAGACTTGCGTGGAATCCTTCTGACGACGTTGTCTCCATTCTCCAGGACTGGACCCGCCTGACGTTCGGCGTCGACCGCAAGGTCGTCGACACTATTACCAAGATGTCCATGGAAAGCTGGCCCGCCTACGAGAGCTACAGCGGCAACCTGGGTATCCAGACTTTGACCGATATCCTCTATGCCCATTACGGTCCTAGGTAAGCAAGAATACGTTCAGATATTCCCAATCCAAGACTAACTTCAAGTTCAGCCCGCGCAGCCAAGACGGTAACAGCTGGGGCCAGTGGACCAGAGCAGACGGAGACAGCATCGGCATGGACCGCACGGTGAAGAACGGCACCCGAAACGCTGGGCAATATCCTCCCGAGGTGGCGGCCATGTACGAGGAGATCGAGACGACCCCCGACGACCTGCTCCTCTGGTTCCACCACGTGCCCTACACGCACAAGCTCAAGAGCGGCAAGACGGTCATCCAGCACATTTACGACGCGCACTACGACGGCTCAGCCACGGCGCAGACGTTTGTGCCGCAGTGGGAGTCCCTTAAGGGCCTCGTCGACGAGGAGCGTTACGAGCACGTGCTCTTCAAACTCAAGTACCAGGCTGGTCACTCGCTCGTCTGGCGCGACTCCATCAACAACTTTTACTGGAACAAGTCGAGCATCCCCGACGAGGCGGGACGCGTGGGCAACTACAAGTACCGCATTGAGGCCGAGCACATGACGCTCGACGGGTACAAGGTCGTCGACGTCGACCCCTTTGAGGCGGCATCCGGATACAAGGCCATCGTGACGAGCTCCAACACGACGGCCGGAACGGCATCGGCCACGGTCGAGTTCGAGACTGGAACCTACACCCTCGCCGTCAACTACTTTGACGTCATTCGGGGAAAGTGCTCGTACGTCGCGTACATCAACGACGTTGTCGTTGGCCAGTGGAGGGGCAACAGCGAGGAGAAGCTGGGCCACTGGCCGTCTGAATTCTTGGACGGGCACTCTGCTATCCGCGTCAACTTCCCTGGTGTTAAGGTGACCAAGGGCGATACGCTGAAGATTGTCGGCACGCCTGACGGGCCTGAGGTGGCTCCTTTGGACTATGTCAGCTTCTTACCTGATGGTATCATTGACTAGACTTGTTGTTGGATTTTTAAGCAAGCATACATCATTCTGTAATAAATGTTCAAGATTTATGAATTCTTCACGGTTCTATATATATGTGATTTCAATTTGTGTACATTTTGACAACCCTTCTTGTTGACCGCAAACGCATCGTAACGCAGATGGATGAATCGTGATTTTGTTCCGTGGTTGGTGTGAGTGATACGAACCCCACAAATTTCATCCGACTCTGAACTATCTCAGAATTTGACTCTCTTCACCCTAAATTTTCATCGAGCCATCGTCTCCCGAGCTTCAGGTCAACGGGCCCGCTTACGAAGCCTAGTGACTAGAGCACATACGAACGGACTCACTACAAAGACTTTGGATCTGAAACCATCTGAAAGAATCACAAAAGTCAGGAAATATCCCGTGAGAAATAACCCCCATCTCAACCTCGTTCTCAGTGAGACTTACACACATCCCTCACAGGCCTCATTCAACATGCTTCCCACACCTGATACCTCCCACGTCCCATTCGAGCGTGTCTACGAGCCGGCAGAGGACTCGTACCTCCTCCTAGACACACTCTCAGCCTCGTCAGAGACTTCTTTTCTAATATCCCGCTTCGGCAGCGAAACAACAACGACATCAGACTCAAAGTCAAGACCAGCAGCCCCACTGGTAGTCGAAATCGGCACCGGCTCCGGCGTAGTAATAGCCTTCCTCGCCGCCCACGCCGCAACCCTCTTCGGCACACCCTCGGTCCTAACCGCCGGCATCGACCTAAACGGCCACGCCTGCCACGCAACAACCTCCACCGTCCGCCGCGCCGTCGCCGACAACCCCGCCACGGCCAGCCCGCTCTGGCTCGGCGCCGCCATGGGCGACCTCACGAACCCCCTCCGGCCCGCCAGCGTCGACGTCCTCGTCTTCAATCCGCCCTACGTCCCGTCCCCGGAGCTCCCCGCGCAGTCCTCGGCCACGCTCGTCGCCGACGCCGCCAAGAAGACGACGTTTGACGAGGACTCGTACCTGCTCTCGCTGTCGTACGCGGGCGGGCGGGACGGGATGGAGACGACGGACCGGTTGATTGAGGCGTTGCCTGGGGTCTTGAGCGCGCGGGGGTGCGCTTACATTCTGCTGTGCGCGCAGAACAAGCCGGACGAGGTCAAGGGCCGGATTGAAGCGTTTGGGGCCGGGTGGAGGGCCGTCACTGTCGGGGAGAGCGGGAAGAAGGCTGGGTGGGAGAAGTTGCAGATCATCAGGGTGTGGAGGGAGACGGAGGGAGGCCCTCGATAGAGAAACGTGAATGAGTTATGGCTTTCTCTATCATCTCTGAGATCTCGTTGACCTACGCACATCTCTAAATTTGCTGGCGAGCGAGCCACATGGGCACAGCGAGTTGCGAGGATTGTAGTTCCTTTTACTGGAATTGTAATTTTTTTTATTTCCCAACCACCCCCAACGCCTGAATAGCATCCGGTTGGTCTTAATGTGTAGGAGTGAGTACCCCGTCTTTTATCAAAGTCAGGGCCCCAGGTTGTAAAATAAAAAAGTTCAACGACGGTTCGTCGTCTCTGAAGGGGGGTTTTTGGCATAGATAATATCCCCCTTTCAAGAGTTCTTTCATGATTCACAAACGACCATTCCGTCTTTCTTCCTCGGGCAAACAGAAAAACTCTCTCGGCGCCCGTCAGAATCCCGAATGTTTGATCCAGAAACAAAGACAACATTGGGTTGGCGTCGGTCTTTGTCGAACGAATTTGCGCAGTCACCATTTTCCCCCAGTTAAATCCCAACTCAACCACGTCCGCGACCGCGTCCCCGACCACGGCCTCTTCCTCTGGGACCGCCTCTTCCTCCGCGGACAGGGCCGCCGCGCTCCGCCTCCTTGCGCGCCTTGTTCTTGGGCTTCGGTTGGTCGTCGATGAGCAGTGTGTCGAGCGGCAGCGAGTCGGGCAGGATAAAGTATCGAATCGTCGAGCCGCGGATGTTCATAGTATCGAGCGAGACGGCGTCCTGGCCCCGGGGGGTCATCTTGACTGTGCGCAGCGCCGTGTTCATCTGCGGCGAGACCGAGGTGATGGTGCCGTGGACGATGGTGCCTGTGATTTCGCAATACGCGTTAGTATATCGTCCTGCAAATGGTCTGCGCATCTTTATAGAGGTGCGGAAAGCAGGACAAGGTGGCTACTGACCATTCTTGAGTTCGATCGTCACCGTCTCATTAGCACACTTCATCAAAAATCTGATTGTTGCAAGTTCTGGTCAGCTTTGCTTTTGGCCTCGGTTTACGGCGAGCGGCCTTCTGCATCTCTGCGAAGGCTCAGCACACAGAATGACGGCAAAGAGAGGGAGAGAACAGTCAATTGCGCGTACCTGACGAGTTTCATTTTGGCGGTGGCGTTCGTGCGTTGAGCGTGTCGTTCGTAAAGTGGAAAGGCGGCTGGATGCGAGACCTCGCGACTGAGGATGGCAGTCCTGGGTGACGGAAGGCTGAAGCTTCGGAAAAGGTGCTATCCCGTTTCTGGGAAGTGGGGCGACTAAGGTGAGTCTTTGGTCACAACAGCTCGGTCCACGTGACCCTCCTCGCCTCTTCTCATGTTAACTTTATGCCGTAAAGGCGAAAGCAAATTACACATTGAAGAGCAGCTATCTCTAAAATCTCTAATCATTGGAATCAGGAACATATTCCCGCAACTAATTTTTGCCACATCGTAACGTGGAGACGGCATTAGCTAAGGCTCAGCACGAATCTCTCCACCATGGGACCCCATCTTGGAAGCTCCCACTCATGCCTGGATGCTTGAACATGGGCGCTTGCAATCTGGATGTGTAGGCTATCTATTGTTCTCGCCTCAATTTCGGTTGATTCTTCTCCAACAACCCGAATATGAAGATGATTTTCAAGGTACGGTATAACTTCATCGGGTTCGAGCCCAGTGATGGTTCGCACCGAAACCATATGCATCAAGGCCGATGTCAGAGGAACCGTCCCGGACACATGATTGCCTGAACGCATATTTTTCATCGCAAAAATGCTCATTGATCCGACGAGATTCTGTGCAGTTGTCCAAGTAGTGGGTTCTTCGAGGACTTCACCTAGGAAGAAATGGATCGCAAACGAGCCATTCAACGCTCCATTCTGAACGTGGATATTGGCAATCCATTCAGTGTATATGTCATCCTCAGTCACTACGTTGGTCTGAAAGTCCGGATCTTGTGAGAAGTCCAGCACATGATTTGAACTAGTTCCTTTTCGAACTTGGGATAGCGGTCCCCATTCTCTTTTGGACGCGGCTCTTCGTTGCTTCCAAGCTAGACCCGAGGGACTGGACGAGCCGTAGAGTCTATTGATGGTTGCTATTAGGCGAGCCTGTTCTTCGGACTTGTGGATTCCCAAACTTGGGTTTGTTTCCGCGTACGAATATCCGAAGGCTGTGGTGTCTCTGGCCATCGCCGAGTTCCAAAAGGTGCCATTAGCGTCCGCGTAGAATGGCTTGAGTTCCGTAAGCCAGTTTTGAACGGTCCCCGACGGCATGGTGAAAGAAGGCTCCATTGCGACTTGGGAAGTGACCCAGGCGGTAGGGTACAGAACTTGCCACATGGCGACAATTCGTTCCACCATAGTATGGTGCAAGAAGAACACTGGGTCGAATGCCGAATACTGAATGTAATACAGATGGCCGCGGTCGCCCACTAATACATGCATGGCATCGTGTAAAGCCTCCACCGAGTCGTATTGTGTCTGATTCGACGCCGCCCCCCAATATTTGTTACTGAAGGGTTCAAAATCCTTGTAATTGGAAAGGAGAGTATAGAGTCGTTGCTGAAGCGCAGGTCTGGCATGCTCGATCGCGTGCGCTATGCTCTGGTTGTCCGTTGTCTCGAAGGGAGCTCTCATTGTCTCTGTCCAATAGGGAAACTTGTACTATCAGAATTCTACTCTTTGATCAAGTTGGTGCCACTACTTACATCACCTTGGGAAAAGACTTGCGGGTCCAGCGGCCGGAACTTGTAGCTGTACAACGGGTTGGCAATGGTCTGCCATCCGTTGGGACCATAGACTTGGATTGCAGGCTCCTCGAATTCAGATAAGTAGACGCTTTCTCCAAGCGGCGGTGTAGTGGCCCAGTCCCAGTATGGAATTCGGAAGTCTATCGCAGCGGCTTGATAGTAAGCTCGTTCCGTTGCGTCCGGGAACCATGAGGCAATCAGCTGCACGAGTTGGAAAAGAATTTGCTATTATGGTGTTAGCGGTCATGTATCTGTCGTCACAGCTTCATGGGGTCTAACCTCGTATAAAGCAAGATATACGCGGTGCCACGATGGGAAAAGAATGGACATGTGGGTGCAGTAGCCCCTTTCTTCGCCTCCCGGTTCGCCGGGTACGCCGTTCCAGGGAACAAATGGAACACCGTGAACACCTGCTGCATATCAGAAAGCCGGTCAACACGATAATGGCCAGTCAGTCTCACCTGCGATCTGATACCACGACAGCTGTTCGCTTTGATTTGTGAACTGGAGCATGCTTGACGCGAGGAGAAAGAGATTCCACTTGAAGGGGTTGTCCTTCATCTCTCTGATATCGGGACGGTTGGGAATAGTTCCGTTTATAGAAGGAAGCTTGGTGACAATAATTGGATCCTGCGTCTGACGCTTGACCAACTTGGCCACGTCGAAGCCATAGTCGTAGGCCGACGGAGAGGGTATGGCCACTGCGGTAGTAGCGAGGAGGATGAGAGACAGAAGCATGGCGCAGCGGGTCGCCTTTACTGCGCGTCCTTGTTAGCAGTCGACTGGGTTGAAGTCAAGAGTTACGAGAAGGTTGACGAGGACAATGGATATTGGTATTCGCGTAGGGTGATACTGAGACGTGGTAGATGTCAGGGGGTCGTAGAATGAGCTGTCCAGGTCGATCAAAATTTTGGCGCAGCCAGATTGCCTTGAAGAAGGAAACCAGGTACGACGATGACAGCAAGATGGTCGTGTTCAAAATTCCGGGGTTGTTGGGACGTTGATGATTGCCGGACTCGACGTCCAAATCGTGACGGAAACAGCGTGGCCGAAAGAAATGTTGAAAAGGGCGCATTGAACGATATTAACCACGCCAATGTACTGCACTTTGGGCACATCAGTTGCGGAAGGCAAATAGGATGTGGGTGGAACGCCGCATAGCCGTGATGGCACGGTGCTTGCGTAGGTAAATTCCTTGTTTTTGGATGGTAATCTCCAGATTCAGAGTAAAGAAGGAAGGTATCGAGACAAGGTAAATCTTCACGGTGTTATACTTTTCTTCAGAGGAAACAGCGAGGTCATGAGCCACTGGTTAGGGGAGGGGGGCTAAAGGGGAAGGCATAGGTTCTTGCCCCCAGTATCCTGTGGGCACGAAACGCGCTGTGCCTTCCTATCCACCTACACCAACGTAACATGCCTTACCTTCTCTCGCCGTTCCACGGCAAAAATATCGTACCTCGGGTACATAACTTCAGAGTCAAGTACATAGTGAGCGAAATCTGACGATGATGGCTAAGAACATGGGCGCCGTGGCACATCAAGCCAGGTGGAATGATTGGTCAAAGCAAGAAGATACTGATGATACGAGGGCAAGCTTCAGCATAGGTAGCTGCCTTCAGGTGAGCGAAGTCAGACGGGTATGAAGATCTCACTGACTCAATCTCAAACATATTGGTTGCCTATGGCGGCTTGTGGCATTTCTATATCAAGTTACCCTGGAAGTGAGCTAAAGTAGTTTCCCGTCCGACCTCGGTTTAAGATGACCAAGAAATGGAAGCATTCACAGCTACGATGAGCCACGATTATCTACGTTGGAATACCACGAGGCCTCTCAAGTACGTTTCGACTTTGGCAAGCCGAATCGGTGCCATAGTTGACCGAGAACGCAGAGAATTCCCTCAGATCTGTGCCGCCAATCGACGGTCAAACACAGCACAAGGCGGATGCCGACATGGTCTGTACGATGTATACCCAAATGACTGTTTGTTGGTTCGGTAACCTACATGAGACAAACGGTCCAGCATCCGATTGTGACTGCTCTACACATGTTGATGTTACGTGGTTCACGCTCGCACCATCTTTGTCGTTTGTCAAACCCCTTCGGACTTCAGCTTGGAGTCTCGAAGGCGAAGCTGATATTCGGTTTAGGGGCTGATTCCGAACGCAGGAGCAGGATCGACGAAGACAGCCACTGTTCAGCACGAGAGAGTTCTATCAGCATCTTGAACCTTTGTCCATTAGTGAGTCATGATTTATGTACAAGGTGGAATACATCTTTTGTCTACCAAACGCCGACGGTCTAAGCCTCTCTAAGGTAATGATTTCATGGGCTTCAAGGGGCCCTTGCGAGGCGCGTCCTTGGAGTCGATGCGATACTTCAGCTTGACACCCATAGCCGCCAACTCCACATCCAAGAACTTGAGCGCACCCGGAACAACGACAACAGTCGTGTTCTCGCCTCCGACCCACTGGTTGCCCTGCCCGTCCTCCCAGATCTCCCCCTCCACCTTGGCGGCGCTCTCCGCATCGCCGGCGTCGAGGCGGGTCGCGCAGTTTCTGCAACGCACTGTCGTGACCTGCTTCTTCTTACCCACAAATGGCGACACGGTTGGTTGAACTGAAAGGAACGAACCACAGCTTCGGCAGATCCAGGATCGTGTGTAGTCGGAACAGTTGAGCAGACGATCCTGCAGCAGGAAGGCCGTGCCGTGAGCGAGCAGCGCGTCACGCTCCATCTCTCCCACACGAATACCACCACCACGCTTTCTACCCTTGATGGGCTGGCCGGTTGTCGGCACGACTGGTCCCGTCGTTCGCACTTGGTACTTGTCGTTGACCATGTGACGCAGGCGCTGGTAGTAGACGACACCAACGTAGATATCGGCGGCCAGTTCCTCTCCAGTGATACCAGAGTACATGGGCTCGTTGCCATGGTAATTGTACCCAGCCTTCATCAGCTGATGACCAAAGTAGTCACCGGCGGTGTTCTCTTCGTTGAACTTGAAGGGTGTGCAGTCTTGTGCCAATCCGTGGAGAGCGCCGGCCTTTCCAGCCAGTGACTCGACGAACATACCGATTGTCATACGAGAGGGGAAAGCGTGAGGATTGATGATGATATCGGGCTGGATACCAGACTCAGAGAAAGGCATGTCGACAGCAGGCCATTTCTGGGAAGCGACACCCTTCTGTCCGTGACGAGAAGAGAACTTGTCACCGATGACCGGTGACCGGGGAACTCTGAGCTTGATGGAGATCGTCTGGGCAGGCTCGTTACCCGACTCGCTACCGAGCACACGTACTTCCTCGACAAAGGCGGTCTCAGACTCTTTGTACTTTTCATAGTGTGTCTGTCCGTCCAGGTTGATCAGCTTGCCGCTGTAGTCTGCTGACACCGTGTGCCATGCGCAGAGTACATCTCCCTCCTGGACCATCCGTCCAACGTAGGGCAATCCGTCCTCGTCAAGCAAGCCACGGTAAAATCCCTTGACAAAACCACCAGGGGCGAAACCGAAGAGCTTAGTGACGTTTTTGGTGGCCCGCGTTCTCGATTCTTCCTTCAGCGTGACCTTCTTCGTCTTGTAGATAGTACCGTGTCCGAATCCTCTTTCGTGTGCCGATTTGTTCAGAATCATAGCGTCGTCCATGTCGTAGCCAGTGTACGAGATAACCGCCACAACGGCGTTGAAGCCATTAGGGAAGTTGTCGAATCCATAGGCGTTGTGCAAAGGCGACCGCACAACTGGCGTTTGGCCGCTCTGAATTCTGTACATCTTGTTGTCTGTTCGGTGCCGAAGAGCCGTTGCCGGTGTTCCCATGGTTTGTTTACCCATCTGACATTGGTACATGTTTCTGGGGGACTGGTTAAAGTCTGAGAAGGGCGTCATGTTGGCAAGAATGGAGAGCATGTTGGTCGGGGATTCCTCCACATGCGTCGACTCGCCTGACACGATTTCGTTCTCAACAACGGCGATGGACATGTAGGGTTGCTCGTAAGGTCCGACGAAGTCCACCTTATCAAGAGGAAGATATTTCACAGGTCTGACCATACGCGCAGGCGCTGAAGACAAGTAAATACCAGGGTAGGAGCCGCCGTTTGAAGGAGGGACGTATCCAATTTCCAGATGAAGAGGGACACCATGAGTGCCCTCGACCTTCCAGAAACGGAGAGTGTCTGCAATTCTAAGAGATTCGCGAGGTGTGCAGAAGCCGATGAGTTTGCCGTCAAGCATAATGACAACACTTTCATCTGTAGCCGCAGAAGACGTCTCCACGGCTCCCAACTCCGCGACGAGGCCGGGAATCTTGGAGGCGTCGATGGATTCGGTCATGATCTTACACTTGTGAGCCAGATGGTTAAGCAAACCGCAAGGCGAACCATCAGGAGTGTGTACAGGGCACAGGAAACCCCAAGACTCGGGCAACAGCTTTCGGACCGTTGTCGTCTTCAACTCGGCGAAGAAGGCACCTCTGTGAATCATTCGGAAGTGACTAATGAAACGGAGGAAGTTGAGCTTTTCCGCAACAACGGTGAAACCGGCTGTTTGTTGCAAGTCAAGACCGGAGGGACTGGTCAGGTTACCTGTGGAAAGGAAGTATTCCAGGCCGTTTCCAAGATTCTCGTTGGCGTGTCTGAAGATATTGGCAGGAAATTCCTTGGCGAAGTCCTGTGATGTGAAGGGGATGGCCGGGTGTTTTCTGGTCCATTCACGGAGAGACAATCGGACAGCAGTCGACAGAAACTCCTCAAGGCGCTCCTTGATGATCATGCCGTAGAGGAAACCGCCAAGAAGAACCTCTTGGTTTTGGACGGCATCAGGGTTGTCGACAGCGCAGTCGCCTGCCACGAGAGCATACAGCTTTCTGATCATGAATAGAAGCATCTTGAACTTGTCGTTATCCTCCTTCTCGGTGACATTGATGTTACCAAGGTGAACAAGGACAACCTTGCGCAGGAACTCTGTGCCGACGTCGTAGTTAGACATGGTGTCTGGTACACCCATCACCACGCGGAATTTCTCTCCAAGGTAGGCTCTCGTCTCGGTCTTGCTGTAGAGACCGTACGACTTGTAGGTTCGGAGGAGCAGCTCGACGCGATCCGTCAAGAAACTGTTCTTGGCCGACTTGGTGTTGGAGAGACCAATTAGTCCTTCGAAGATGTCGCGGTCGTTTGTGTCGACAAGAGCCTTCAGAACCATCATGACTGGGACGAGGTACTCGTTCTTCTTCCAGGAGAAGCGGAACGTCATGTTGCCGTCGCTAAGGTAGTGCAAAACGTTGGTTTGGGATGTCTCATCGGGTCTGACCGATCGGACGATGATACCGTACGGGGTGTAGCCTTGGCCTCGGTTTTGGAAACTCGGTCGGTTGATCGCCATGGGGAAATTCCTTCGATTAACTTGCAGCAGTCGGATAATCTTCTCGATACCGTTGACAACAAAGTAACCGCCCAGTTCTTCGGATTCCTCCTTTCTTTGCACCAATTGGGCTGGGGAGTTGCCCTCCAAGTGACATCTGTTGGACTGCCAATCCCTCATTAGCACCCCGCCGTCAGTCTTGAGATAGGTGTATGCAAGCGCTTACCTTGACCATGATTGGCACCTGTCCAAGCTCGCGCACGAATTCTTTCGGATCACCACCATTGATCCTGTACTCAAAGGTGGCAGATAGCCTACCTCGGTACGTTGCATGGCGCTCTCTGCATTCGGAGGGTAGAATTTCGCGATTCCTGGCGAACTTGTTGGAGGGGGGTAGCTGAGCCTTTTGCAGGGCTACACTCTTGATCCGTATGGACAGACGGTTCTTGCCCTCGAGGCCAGCCCTGTCATCGCCATCAAGATATGTCTTTGTGCCAATATCCTCGAGGCCTCGGGCGAGCAGACTCTTGTCGTCACTTGTGAACAGGGCATTGAACGAGTCAATGTGAGGGCTCACGGCCTCTTGCAGGGCAGGATATGCTGTGTGATCCTTCGGGGGGTTGCGGAAGAGGTTCTCGCGACGAACAGTATTGTACTGGTGATCCCACTCGGTGCTGGTCGCTGAAGGCGCCATGTTCGCTCTCTCGTTCGCTTGCCTGCGACTGGGATTGTTAGCTCAAGGTAAGTCGTGATTTCATCCCTCTCTCCACAGTGAATAAGTGCTGACTTACGGGGGACTATGTTATGTGGGTGCAACAACGTCAGAAACTGGTCTCCCTGGGCAAGACAAACGTGACAGAGACGAGGAGGGCGAAAACGTATAAACTTCTTCCTACTGCGCCGGGTTTCTGGATCGCAGAGGCCAAGATGCGACAGTCGGGCGCTCGGTGAAAACAA